TTATTTTCGATGTTTTTAAAGGGCTGAGATACCCAGGGATCAAACTCAGAACAATAACCCGTGAAGTCTGTGGGTTAAGAGTCGTTGCTTAATGGAATGGATGTATTCAAACGGGCCATTTTGCTGAAAATTATTATGATTGAGTAGGTGTATGTTTGAAACGATACAAATACATGTGTATCGCTGGGTATAGTATCATTATCGATATAATGTGAGTCATGTCATGTCCAGGATTAGTTATATAGGATTCAAATAGAATTGAAAACAGACATCACAACACATTATTGTAATGAAATACCTTGCTAATTTACCAAGCTCCCTAAACCTTGAGTGGTGTGAGTGAGTGGAGTGGAGTGGAGTGAGTGAGTGAGTGGAGTGGTGAGCGAGAGGAGCGGAGTGGTGGAGTGGTGAGTGAGTGAGTGAGTGAGTGAGTGAGTGAGTGAGTGTGAGTGAGTGAGTGAGTGAGTGAGTGAGGAGTTGGTTTCTGGCACTTCAAGGGTACGCAACTCTGCCAAGCGATTTCATCGTTTTTAATATCATAATGATAACAGTCCATTTGTATGGCGTTTTCCCAAGAAGAATATCACGTTCAAAGCCGACCTAAACTGTCTTTGAGGTGCTGGATGGTTAAGTGATATTACCATCTCATTCTACCTGGTATCCATCCACTGCTGGCTGAACAGAGGCAGATCTCGGACAAATTCATCAGCGTCGGACAGGACTGTACCAAGAAACTCTGTCAGGAGCCACACTGTCGAACATAGTGACCCATTCGAGGACATCACCTGATGTTTATGCCGATGTGGCCTGAATTTTAACAATATTTCAGTTTTTTCACAACCTGTCAGCTTGATATCGGCGAAATGTCCAAAGTGATGAATGTGTATGGTGCTGGGATTCGAACCTATGATCATAGTTTTCTGGTGTGACTAAGAGACACAACTCTGCACAGCAAATTGCCCCGCCTTGAATGACAGGGCCACCGTGTGCCGTGATTACAATGAATAGTAGCGCTAATAATTTGTCTTGCTGCTAAAACACACTTGATTGGCTAAATAAATTTACAATATATAAAATAATTTTAGTCAATTTTTAGTCAGGCTTTTTAGATAGATAGGCGACAATGCGACAACGCGACATATTTTGACCTTGAAAATTGTCGCTATGTCGCGTGTCGCCCTTTGGAGGAATAAAAAATATTATTCAAAACGCGACGACGACATCGCGACAATGCGACAAATGGGCGAAATGTCGCGTTGTCGCATTGTCCCGCTTTGGTTAATTTTGCCTCATTTTGCTTGTTTTTGAGAGGGCGACAACGCGACAATGCGACAACGCGACAATGTCCCTTCTCGGATTCCATAGTTTTGTACCTGTTTCAGTGAATAAAGAAAAGATTTCATGGACATTTTATTTGCTTAATTTCTATCATATTCACAACATACTTCTTTCCTTGTGCTTGACTGGAGGGGACATAGGCTGCCTTTTCATGCAATGCATAAAATGTGCAGAGTTGTGTCCCTTTAGCATAGCAGGAACCTATGATTATGGGTTCAAATCCGTGTTTGTGTTTCTACGCCATAGCCATGCGCATGGACGTCACCAAAGTTGTAAATATTTGAGATTTCCATTGCTAAGAACATTCCAGCCATGTTGTTTGTTTGTTTGCTGTTTGTTTAACACCACACGGTATTCCAGCTTTATGACGGCGGTCTGTAAATAATCAAGTCCGGACCAGCTGCTTTAAGTCAGCATGTGGTATGACTGGAATAGTGTTAAAAATAGTGTTAAATGGGTGAAATTCTTCAAAGGCATTTAGAAGTTGGTGTAGTAATATGAAACAAATCTTATGGATAACAACTTTTTTATTTGTGTCTCATGGCATTTCTGGGCTAGTTCTTGTCCCTTCTTCATCCACCTGAAGAAGGGACAAGAAGTAACTCAGTAACATCGTGAGAAACAAATATTATTATTATGTGATATTTGTAAGGCGGCAATATCCAGCTCAGCTGCTCAAAGGCGCTGTGCTTTTCCCTCGATCATAGGATATCAATCTCAACGGCACATCGTATTTTTCAATCTCTTGCAGCCACTTGGCGCACCGAGTTAATGTGGCTTTCCCATCCTTACGAGGTACACATAGTCACAGTACTTTGCTGTACTCGCAACTAGGTGTTTGCACGTATTCATGTGGCCACCATCTGGTCATTTACCAACGGATTCGTGGGTTCTTTTAAGTGTACAGGATTGTGTACTCTACACTAGGAGTAGTGACAACACTGATAGAGTCTGCACACAAAGTTGACTCCAAGGTTTTTACACCCGGTCACAGGTGGGCTAGATCCTGGCACCTCAACCTCGCTGGATCAGTAGCCTGGCGCCTTAGAAAGAAGTTGTTATCCATAAGATTTGTCATGTTAAAAGTGGTGTCAAAGCTGACACATTAGTTTACTTGATTGTCTTATGAGCAATATGGTACAGTACGATAGCCAAGTGGTTATGACAAGAGGTTTGACATAGTGGAACAGGTGCCCGATGTACCTCTTATGACATTGCTGGAATATTCTGAAAATCAGCTGAAAACCGAGCTAACTTATTCTCTTGTGTGTCAGCAATGGATGCACCTTTCAATTTTGTTGGATTTGAGAAGCCCATTGAGAGAATCAATACAAAGATCTTAAGACTTTCTGCGTAAACCAACGACACAAAAATAGAGTGAGTGAGTGAGTTTTACGCCGCTTTTAGCAATGTTCCAGCAATATCACGGCGGGGAACACCAGAACATCAGACCTATCTATCTAGCTTGCCTACTCCATCAGACCTATCTGGCTATCTATCATAACAGAAGAAGAAATGGGCTTCACACATTGTACCCATGTGGGGAATCGAACCCGGGCTTTCGGCGTGACGAGCGAACGCTTTAACCACTAGGCTACCCCACCGCCCCCACAAAAATAGTAGGCATAGTCAAACGAAACAGATAACATGACAAGGTAGTCAGAGTTGATGGTGCTGGTTGATGTCTGCTTTGTCTGTTTGTTGCATAATGCATCAATGCGGAATGTTCCAGCTGTATTTCGCGGTCTGTAAATACTTGAATCTTGACCAGACAATCCAGTGATTAAAATCATGAGCGTCGATCTATCGACATGTGTCAACCAAGTCAGCGAGCCTGACCACTCGATCCCGTTAGTCGCCTCTTACGACAAGCATGGGATGTTGAAGATCAATTCAAACCTGGATCTTCTTGGAGTGTAACAAGCATGGGATGGTGAAGATTAATTCTAACCTGGATCTTCTTGGAGTGTAACGAGCATGGGATGCTGAAGATCAATTCTAACCTGGATCTTCTTGGAGTGTAACGAGCATGGGATGGTGAAGATTAATTCTAACCCGGATCTTCTTGGAGTGTAACAAGCATGGGATGGTGAAGATCAATTCTAACCTGGATCTTCTTGGAGTGTAACGAGCATGGGATGGCGAAGATTAATTCTAACCCGGATCTTCTTGGAGTGTAACGAGCATGGGATGCTGAAGATCAATTCTAACCTGGATTTTCTTGGAGTGTAACAAGCATGGGGTGCTGAAGATCAATTTTAACCTGGATCTTCTTGGAGTGTAACGAGCATGGGATGGTGAAGATTAATTCTAACCTGGATCTTCTTGGAGTGTAACGAGCATGGGATGCTGAAGATCAATTCTAACCCGGATCTTCTTGGAGTGTAACAAGCATGGGATGGTGAAGATTAATTCTAACCTGGATCTTCTTGGAGTGTAACAAGCATGGGATGGTGAAGATTAATTCTAACCTGGATCTTCTTGGAGTGTAACAAGCATGGGATGCTGAAGATTAATTCTAACCCGGATCTTCTTGGAGTGTAACGAGCATGGGATGGTGAAGATTAATTCTAACCCGGATCTTCTTGGAGTGTAACGAGCATGGGATGCTGAAGATTAATTCTAACCCGGATCTTCTTGGAGTGTAACAAGCATGGGATGGTGAAGATTAATTCTAACCCGGATCTTCTTGGAGTGTAACAAGCATGGGATGCTGAAGATTAATTCTAACCTGGATCTTCTTGGAGTGTAACGAGCATGGGATGGTGAAGATTAATTCTAACCCGGATCTTCTTGGAGTGTAACAAGCATGGGATGCTGAAGATTAATTCTAACCCGGATCTTCTTGGAGTGTAACGAGCATGGGATGCTGAAGATTAATTCTAACCCGGATCTTCTTGGAGTGTAACAAGCATGGGATGCTGAAGATTAATTCTAACCCGGATCTTCTTGGAGTGTAACAAGCATGGGATGGTGAAGATTAATTCTAACCTGGATCTTCACTAGCTGATGCCTGCAATGCCATCCGTGACTATAAGAGAATGATCAATGATCTTCCTCGTTGGTTTTTCTCGACTTGATTATGTTCAGGCTGCAGTGATAGAGCTTGAATAGTGATGAATTTATAAGATAAACAACTAAAACCAATCAGATGTGCGTACATTAAATTTGTTATTTTGTACATACAACAGAAGATGTGAACCCTTTGTACAATAGTGTAAAACAACAATGAACCATTACCTTATGAATATAATTAAACCTAACTTCAAACACTACGCACAATAAAGGACAAGATGTATAGGACTAGGGTTTACTCATGGTCAACACTGGACACTGCACTAGGCACATCGTGACATGAACTTTTAAACCAGAGTGATAGCAAATGTAGCATTTGTTATATTTGGGATTACACTTTCGTAGTAAAGTTCAGATTCGAGTACTTTTGTTGGGTTGAATCCCATCTGGGATTCGAACCCACACCCTCAGAGTTAGGCACCTAATCGCCAGCACACAAAGTCAGCCGCCTATAACCCGTCCACAAATTATTGGAAGTCGGACAACTGGTAGTCTAGACTGCGGACTTTGTTTACCCCTCTGATAAGTGTAAATTGGCACGGCTATGATTACACAATGCCATTTAGAAATTGGTCAAATGTAGGGTGTGAGTTCAAATACCCATGGGACTGAACCCAACAAAAGTACTAGAATCTGTACTTTACTAAGAAAGTGTAATCCCAAATATAACACATGTTACATTTGACCACCATATTCGTGTATTTTGTGTGGTACACAATTGTGTTAAGTGACTGGTGATTTGTTACAATGAGTGGTGTGTGTGTGGATTTTAAAAAATACAGTGTGTGTGTGAGAGAGAGATAGAGAGAGAAAGGGAGAGAGAGAGAGAGAGAGAGAGAGTGAGTGAGAGAGAGAGAGAGAAGAGAGAGAGAGAGAGAGAGAGGGTGAGAATAGTCTCATGATTGTAAGACTGGATCATATTTCTCATACCCTGCCATCTTATGAAACATTTTTAAATGACAACTACTGCCACCCACCTGACATCCCGGCACCTACAAATAAACAACAAGCTCTGACGTTCAATATGAACACATGACACTATTTCATGGATAACGACTTTGTGAACTCTTGTAACGTCTCAAAAGAATATAAATATTAAAAAGGTCGTCCACAACAGATGTCATGTTCCTCCAGCTTATAAATGTCTATCAAAGATTAAATTCGCCGATGTCAACCTTCTTTGACTATTAAATAAAATAAGATTAATAATATACGTAAAGAATAATTCTTTGGCAAGATGTCCATGAATTCTGGGGTCAGCAGACGAGTTGCTCTCCTGCATGGTATGTGTAAATATTGTAATGTTCAGGAGAAATCCAATCTTCCTGTAATGAAGTTTCCCAGAGCACCGGGGTCGTCTGCACGGTAGTACTCTGAGGACAGCTCCTTGAAGTACTCCAGGTTGATCTTCTTCTCATGGTTCTAAAATGAATAAATATTCATTCAAGATCAGCCTATAATTTTCTACATGCTACTAGCACAGATATCATGAACTACACATGTTAATGTCAAGGATATCATGAACTACACATGTTACTGTCAAGGATATCATGAACTATACATGCTTTGTCCAGGATATCATGAATTATACATGTTAATGTCAAGGATATCATGAACTACACATGTTACTGTCAAGGATATCATGAACTATACGTGATACCGGGAAGGATATCATGAACTATACATGTTAATGTCAAGGATATCATGAACTATACATGTTAATGTCAAGGATATCATGAACTATACGTGCTACTGGGAAGGATATCATGAACTATACATGTTAATGTCAAAGATATCATGAACTACACATGTTAATGTCAAGGATACCATGAACTATACATGCTACTGTCAAGGATATCATGAACCATACATGCTACCGTCAAGGATATCCTGAACTATACGTGCTACTGGGGAAGGATATCATGAACTACACATGGTAATGTCAAGGTTATCATGAACTACACATGTTACTATCAAGGATATCATTAACTATACATGCTACTGTCAAGGATATCATTGACAATACATGCTACTGTCAAGGATATCATGAACTATACATGCTACTGTCAAGGATATCATTAACAATACATGCTACTGTCAAGGATATCATGAACTATACATGCTACTGTCAAGGATATCATGAACTATACATGCTACTGTCAAGGATATCATGAACTATACATGCTACTGTCAAGGATGTCATAAACATACATGTTACTGCAACGGTTATCATGAACCATACGTGTCAGTATCAAGGATATCATGAACTGTACATGTCACTGTCACGGATATCAGGAACATACATGCTACTGAAACGGATATCGTGAACCATACATGTTAGTGCCAATGATATCATGAACTATACGTGTTACTGTTAAAGATATCATGAACTATACATGCTACTGTCACAGATATCATGAACTATATACGCTACTGTTACGGATATCATGAACCATACATGTTACTGTCACAGATATCATGAAATATACACGTTAATGTTAAGGATATCATGAACTATACATGTTAATGTCAAGGATATCATGAACTACATATGTTACTCTCAAGGATATCATGAACAATACTTGCTACTGTCAAGGATATCATGAATTATACATGCTACTCTCAAGGATATCATGAACAATACATGCTACTGTCAAGGATATCATGAATCATACATGCTACTCTCAAGGATATCATGAACTACGTATGTTACTCTCAAGGATATCATGAACAATACTTGCTACTGTCACGGATATCATGAAATATACATGCCACTCTCAAGGATATCATGAACTATACATGCTACTGTCAAGGATATCATGAACTATACGTGCTACTGCCACTGTTATCATGAAACATACATGTTAGTATCAAGGATATCATGAACTATACATGCCACTGTCCCCGATATCATAAACTAAACATGTTACTGTCAAGGATATCATGAACTAAGTCGGCTACTTTCAAGGATATCGAGAACTATACATGTTACTGTCAAGGATATCATGTACATACATGCTACTGTCACAGATATCATGAAATATTCTTGTTATTGTCACGGATATCATGCACTATACATGCTACTGTCAAGGATATCATGAACTATACATGCTACTCTCACGGATATCATGAACTATACATACTACTGTTATGGATCATGGACTATATATGCTACTTACCATGGAGAATATCAGGAAGCATGCTCGGGCATCTTTACAGGAGACGCCGAAATCCCCCAGGACGTACTCAAACTCATCCACGTCGATGACACCGTCTCCTGCAGGCAATAACAAACTTGTAACAATATACTGTTCTTTACCTGTCTAGGGGCGGTGGACATAGCCTAGTGGTTAAAGCGTTTGCTCATCACGCACAAGACCCGGGTTCGTTTCCCCACATGGGTACAATGTATGAAGGCAATTTCTGGTGTCACCCGCCGTGATATTGCTGGATTATTGCTGAAAGCGGCGTAAAACTAAACTCACTCACAAACGTTGATATTACACGGATTTGATTTGTAAGTGCACGTTTTATATACGTATAATAGTCTTTTCATCTACATAGTGCTGTTATGGTTTCCTTGAATTCGGTTCTGCACCTACAAAAGAAAATTGCAAGTGGGGATTTCAGGCTGAAAAAGGCCATCAGCTACGAAGTCTTAGCAGGGCGGTGGGGAAACCTATTGGTTTAAGCGTCCACTCGTCACGCCGAAGATCCAAGTTCGATTCCTTACATGGGTACAATGTGTCAAGCCTATGATCTCTTGTGTCCCCTTCAGTGATATTACTGGAATATTGCTAAAAGCGGCACGTGGGGAAAGATTTTTTTTTTTAAATATATATATTAAAATTCACAGTTCACTATTTGTTATGAGGGAGGAGTGCAGAGAAAGGGACAGCCAGGTGTTTGAGAACGGATGGAGACGGCACAGCACAGGTTAATGAATAAATAACTTTGTCTGTGAACGTGCTTCTCTAACACCTGGCTGTCCCTTTCTCTGCACTCCTCCCTCGTAACAAATAGTGAACTGTGTCAATATTTTAATGATAGTTTGTTAAACAACTTTATTATTTTTAGGACAAAAATTCTGCAAAAACCTCACAGAGTGGGTATGATGTTTTGATTATGATCAGCGTTTCATTGAGTATTTTATGTTTATTAGTTTCGAGTTAGATTGCAATTCATCGGTCCGCCTGTTCTCTGCATGTTCAATATTCATGTCACTCACTGTGAAAGACTGAAGCTCCCAATGAATCGCAATACGTATCGGAACAGGGTACCAGAATATCTTGCAATACAATTTATTTGCTCATACACAGCCCTAGCATGGTGTGTGAGGTGACACCCATTACGTTGCCATTGTTAATTGACCCAAGGCCTTTGAGCAAATTAATCCTAATTTAAAATCTGTCCAGTCGATTGTATGACATTTATTTGACATATCTTTCAATGGCGATTTCCCTTTCAAAGCTAGAAATAGACAGTGCAACAGATGCTTTGTATCAGCTGTTAATAGTTCAACATGAAGCACAAATTCCACTATCACCTGGCTATCAGCCTGTGCAGTGTGCGAAATAGCCACTCACCGCTAGTCCGTGGTCAGTGAAAATCCAGTCGGGCTACTAAATCTCCACAGTCATTGGCCCGACTGGATTTCCATGGGGTCATTTTGGAAATAAGTCACTCTTTCCGACTTGTTAAATTATAATACACTTTTAAATCATGCAAGATAATGGCCAGATAAATGATGGTATTTTACCTTTTGTTATCTTTTGCTTAGTTTCTACATTCAATTTTCGGGCGCGTGAATTATTTTGTGGGCTAGTAACTTTCAGGCATAGCTAGCCCGCCTGCCTAGCAAAACTTGGAAACGATTTCGCACTCATTTATTCCAACTTCCGAGTTTTGCGCTATCCGCCACATCGTGAAACAATACTGGTGGATCCACTGGCCCTGGATCTTCGCAGTAATGATCCAGAATACCGTACCAGAACGCCCTATACAAGTCTCAATCAAATCATTTCGTTCTGAGGCCTACTGATCAACATCACCAACAAATGTCCAGAATATAACATTTCTTGAAACTCTTCACGCTCTTCACATTCATTTCATTTCTTATAAACATAATATTTATGTTATTTATGTTTCAGCACTATTAAAATTAGGGGCGGTGGGGTAGCCTGGTGGTTAAAGCGTTGGCTCGTCACGCCGATGACCCGAGTTTGAATCCCCACATGGGCACAATGTGTGAAGCCCATTTCTGGTGTCCCCCGCCGTGATATTGCTGGAATATTGCTAAAAGCGACATAAAACCATAATCACTCACTCACTATTCCAATTATGTAACCGCGGTCTGTAAATAATTGTGTCTGGACCAGGCAATCCAGTGACTGACATGAAGAGCGTCGAGCCACGCTATTGGGACACAATGACGTGTCAACCAAATCAGAGAGGCTGGCATCCAACCCGCAAAGCGTTCGTAACTTTACGAGCTATCGTAACGGGATAGCTTATCACACAATTACGAATGACTTATTGCTACGAACGCTTTGTGGATCGGGCCCCTGACGCTCTCTTAAGAGGAACATGGCTTTCTGGAGATCAGTTGCAACCCCGGGTCCTCGAAGGTTTTTCCTTTAGCAAGAGTACAAACTAATGTATTTAGACACAGATATAAAATATATGTCGTGGTGGAAATAACGACGATTAATTGCCTAATGTTTGTTTACCAAACGAACTGTTTTCGGATGCATTCAGATGTAAATTCTAATTTTATGCGCTCAAGACAAAAATGTGGTCCGGGGGACGAGCGCTGATACAGTATCCCAACGTGCACCCCTCGAAGAGTCCCCAAGCTTCAGACCGCCTCCGTGGTGTAGTGGTGAGAGCGGAAGGTCCCGGGTTCGATCCCCGACCGCGTCATACCAAAAGACGTTAAAATATGGTACTTGTTGGTCCCTGCCTGGCGCTCGGCATTAATGGGTACAACAAGGACTGGTCGGCTCGGAGTCAGTATAATGTGTCTGAGTGGGGTATTCATGCTTCACTGCGGCATGGTATCTCAGTGGGCTAGCACTATAAAACCAGCTTCAGTCTGGGCTAGTACAAGCAGCCGCACATACCCGTACACACGCATGCACGTCGTCATATGAGCGAAATATTCTCAAGCACGACGTTAAACTCAATTTCACCACACCTCACCCCCAAGCTTCAATCACCCCAGAAATCCAGCAACTGAGACTTGCAGAAGTCCCTAAGGTAATATAAATTTCAAGTAATAATTTCTAAATAATAGGGCTAAAAAGAACACATTGTCCAAAACAGACTAGCGTTCTAGTACTGTCCGCTTATCTATGCTTGCATCTTTATAGGATAGAATTACTATACACCCGTAGCTAAGCATTCAGTACAACCTTGGTTGGATGGTTTTGTGTGTAGTTCTCTTTATGTATAATTAAGACTGACTAGATGAATATTAGGACTGTGTCATTAAGGACGAGTTTCCAACTACTGACTGACTGACTGAGTTTGGTTTTACGCCGCTTTTAGCAATATTCCAGCAACATCACGGCGGGGGAACACCAGAAATGGGCTTCACACATGGTACCCATGTGGGGATTCGAACCCGGGTCTTCGGCGTGACGAGCCAACACTTTAACCATTAGGCTACCCCACCGCCCCAGTAATGCCAACTGAATCTAAACAATAAGAAAATATAAATTTGTTCCTGTTCAGACAAAGTGTCGAGACTTATTTTAGTGGGAGGAGCTGAAACGTATCAGGATTTTGTTTTAGTTGTCTGAGAAACGAGCTATAGTGATGTTATTGTTGCTTGTTGTTTTACGCCGCATAAAGCAATATTCCAGCTATATGGCGGCGGTCTGTAAATAATCCAGTCTGGACCAAACAATCCAGTGATCAACATCATGAGCACCGATCTACGCGCAGAACAACCTTGGAGCTAGGCTATCAGCAACGCTGCGTTTTGAGAAATAATGTTAGCACCGAGACGTCAGACTGCATCGCACACGATTATTAATTCTACAGAGGAGAATATGATATTTAGAAAAGATGAAGATACAAGTACCCACCCGTCCTGTCATAGAGGTTGAACTTATACTCGATATACCGCTTCAGCCAGTCGGGAAGGTCATACGCCTCCAGTTTGTCCATCTCCCTCTTCTCCTTGTCGGTCTTCCTCTCGTTCTTCTTGAAGCCATCCTTGTGGAACATCTCCCACATCTTCAGCTACGACACATACAGACATCTACATGTACGTCGTGGGCATGTTATGAGCGAGTGAGTGAGTTCATATTTAACGTCACATCGGCAATATTTCAGCCATATCGTGACGAGAACATTTGACATTGTGTGGATGTTATGCGGCTAGACCGAGAGTGAGTGAGTGGGTGGGTATGTCTGTGAGTGAGTGGATGGTAGTGTTGGGCATTGGTTAAAATCTCATAATTGATGATTGGTTCATTACAACCGATCAATCATCGAAAATAATTGGTTAGCGTCATGTATGAAATTTGTTAATGCACATAAAAATAAGGAAAAAACATGTAGTTCTTTTGTTGATTTTGGCAAAATTTCACATCTTTAAAGGATGACTAGTATGTTAGGAACATAAATTTCTTGGAGCCTTTAAGATAAATTCAATCATGACTTGAAACGAGCTTGTAGTGCTTACAAAATGTAACAGACAAAACCAACCATGTGAAAAATATTGTTAATGAAAACAAGTGTTCCAAAATTGGTTGTGTTCGATTATGAGAAATTATGATCGATTGCTTGGTCGTTTAGTCACTACGACCAATCTTCGATTATTTCAATTAATCGGACCACCACTAGTGGATGGGTATGTGAGTGTGTGAGTGAATGAGAGTGAGTGAGTGGGTGGGTAGGTGTGTGAGTGAGATGGAATATGTGAATAAGCTTTTGAGATAGAAAATACCTTGAAACTGACCTCGACCTTGATGTGTTTTATCATTATCAAAAATTGTCGAAATATCTCAAATTAATCTTTATAACTGAATGAAAACAGAAGAAATTCAAACAAACAACGACCCCAAACACTTACCCATTCATCTTCTGTGACCTTGCCGTCATTATTCTCGTCGGCCTCGTCTGACAGCCGCCGCCATATTTCAACAAACAGTTCTTGTGTGCGCATGAATTTTTCTGTACCGATCTTCCATCCGCTCAATGCGCAGATTTTCTGTAACATATCACCTGACTCTTAGTTGTGCCCCACAACATGCGTAATCTTTAACCTATACTGACGAGCAAAAGAAAGTATGCCATTAGAATCAAACATAACATTTCAGACTTTTCCCGGCTGAAAGATGCGGTGTGGTAGCCTGATGGTTATAGTGTTAGCTCGTCACGCTGGAGACCCGGGTTCGATTCCACACATGGTTTCAATGTGACCACTCACTCATTTGACTTATGTTTTCATTGAAACAAGAAGTATACTCAAAACACACAAACTTACTTTTATTCATGACCAAGAGTTTTATAAAGTAGGTATAAGAGGTGAGGTGAGGTGAGGTGAAATTAGGTTTAACGTCGTGCTTGAGAATATTTCGCTCATATGACGACGTGCATGCGTGTATGTGTATGTGCGGCTGCTTGTACTAGCCCAGACTGAAGCTGGTTTTATAGTGCTAGCCCACTGAGATACCATGCCGCAGTGAAGCATGAATACCCCACTCAAACACATTATACTGACTCCGAGCCGACCAGTCCTTGTTGTACCCATTAATGCCGAGCGCCAGGCAGGGACCAACAAGTACCATATTTAAACGTATTTTGGGTATGACGCGGTCGGGGATCGAACCCGCGACCTTCCGCTCTCCGGGCAGACTCTAACCACTACACCACGGAGGCGGCCAGTAGGAATAAGAAAGCTGAAGAAGCGTGTTTGAAGCAAGAGAGAATATTTTTTTAAATCAGCTGTAATTTGTTTTAATGTCAATGATGTTTATGTTTGAGATCAAGTACGTATACCTTTCGATTTATTCCCTTGAAGATCCGGGTTAGAATTGATCTTCAGTAACCCATGCTTGTCGTAAGAGGCGACTAGCGGGATCGGGTGGTCAGGCTCGCTGACTTGGTTGACACATGTCATCGGTTCCCAGTTGCGTAGATCGACACTCATGCTGTTGATCACTTGATTGTCTGGTCCAGACTCGATTATTTACAGACCGCCGCCATATAGCTGGAATATTGCTGAGTGCGGCGTAAAACAACAAACTAAACAAACAAAACCTTTTGATTTACAATTGTAAAAGTCTGCACATAATATCAGATATACCTGTCTCGCCAGATCAAAGTCCCTCCATTCCAGAGACCCGTCTTTGTTTAAATCTGAAACACACAAATAGAATCAACAAAAATACAGAACAAGCAAAGATGCTGCAGAATGTACATCGCGGATCGCCATTGACACAGATACACAGAAATCACACAAAGGGGACATTTTGCATTGCCTTTTTTACGTTACTATGTGGCTGTGATATAATAATGTTTCAAGTGAATAAGCCCCCCCCCCAAAAAAAAAAATTTTTTAAAAAATGCGGTGTAACCACACAAGACTAAACTGTGTAGAAACATCCATAGATATCAGCAAAGACTGTTCATTAAAATCGTACCCCCAACCCCCCAAATGAACCATACACAAACACCACCACCCTAAACAAAAAAACAACAACAAATAATACACACACACAAACACAATCACACACACACTAATATATATATATATATATATAAAAATAAATTAAAAACCTCCAAGCAACAAATAATAACAACAAACAAACAAAAACATCCCCCAAGACAAGAACAACCCCCAACCCATCAAAACCATCAAACCCAACGAAATACAATGACGTTGATACAAACATTTAATGACTTGATATCTAATATGACAATTCCCCTTCTAGAAACGTACAATAAAGACTCACACCGTTATATTATAATCAATGACAAGTCCCCTACTCATATATTTTTTTTAACTGAACATCTCAATCCATACACATTTCCATGAAAAAAAATCGATGGGAGCTGCAATAAAACCAATTCTGAATTCACGCAAAGCATAAATAAAAAACATGACATCGGAAACATCATAGTATAAATAGCAATATTGTGCTATTGCGATATTGAATTATAGCGCCCGACACACCGTCGATATGTACATATGTCAGTATACCTCGCGTCTGATATAGTGTTATATTCTGAATCAATACGCGCAGTGGTAATAGAAGAGCATACATATGGCGCGCAGGTAAACAGCGGGGTCGGCAGTATGGCACAGCGTGTAAGTGAAATTGTAATAAACAGAAAATTGATATCTATGGCTACTATGTTTTTCTCGACTAACTTATGCTGAGTTACTAGAGGCGTCACCCAACGGTAATAATAACGGTATTCCAGAGATTTACTGTTCTGTTCTTTATCTTGAATGAGAGCATGGGTACATGAGGCCTCGGGAAATTCGAGACTGGAATCGTGGTCACACCGACAAACACTCTACCGTATGAGCTACCCAATATGTGGATGATCGACTATAGGTTAAACCTTAGTTACGTGTTGAGTCAAAGGACCGTGTACTCGTGTTCTTGTGCTCTCTCTCTCTCTCTCTCTCTCTCTCTCTCTCTCTCTCTCTCTCTCTCTCTCTCTCTCTCTCTCTCTCTCTCTCTCTCTCATAACGTCAATTTATTTTCACATAACACTTACAAATTATCATTTCCAATCTGCACCACCACCATCACCATCACCAGCAACATAACTACTACTACTAATGATGATGATGATGATTATATGTATTCCTGGTGACTACATGCACCGGAAACCAGGGGAACTGATGATGATGATGATGATGATGATGATGATGATGATGATGACGATGATGATGAGTTTCCGAGACTACACACGCGTTATTAACCAACACCAAATACACAACATAACGGTAATCAATTACTCACCGAAAAACGTGTGAAACTCGTGCAGAAGCTTGTTTTTCTGGAACTGACTCAGCTCAGGTTTGACCAACCCCAGCGTTCCGCCCATCGTCCTCGAAACTACAACCACAACAACACCGTCAATGCAACTCCATATCGGCGATCAAGGCAGGGGATTGTAATCACCGCACGACGTGTTCAACATGCTAGATGTACGCGACAGTTATTCCAGAAACAGACAGACTGTCGCCTGCCTGGACAGCAAACCTCGACACCGTACGGAACGATCTGTCAATTATACGTCCAGACATGAGATACGTTCAGATAATGCCCTTCAACCTGAATGAGACACAATCCAAAATTTCGAGAAATGGATTTTACGTCTAAACAGCTATAAACCTTACTTCATGGATGGTTATGAAGCACAATTATTCTACGCATTTACCCTTTGGCCTGAGGTAAATGTCACATTTATTTAATACGTTCTGTTAAAGTAACAATATAAATGAGGGGTGTTAGCAAGTCGCAGAATTATAGCTGTACGTCACAGGCTGATCGATAACAGCTGGCGCGGATGTCTCGATGTCACGTGATCCGCCCGACAGTATCACGTGACTTGTCGTTCCACCTGTTGCCGGTGTGTTGGTGTGAACACAATACAGACTGATCATAAATCCGCCATATTGATATTTACTAAAGTCACGGGGTCATTGATCTTACAACGAGCTTTCATAAAATCTTAATATGTCGTTCCATGTAGTGTTCGTTAATGTGTAGTTGATGTTGACATGAAAGGAGCTTGTGCTTGTTACGTCAATATTTGTGTTTCAAAACATGCAGCATTTTTGCAGTGATTAAAACAGAGTTTTGAACGGAACTGTGACCTCGGTAAACGGAGATATGGTTTAATTAACTAATATTCAAGATCAGGCATTTAATATCCTGTAGAGGTCTGGTGTATAAACGGTTGACATGTAATCGAATAGTTTTAGCTAATATTTTAACGGAGACATAAATGTCGGTTTCTGAATGGTTGAGACAAATTCTATTGCTGTCAATGAACCCCGGCGACATTTAATATTTCTTATATTCCCCGATCGAATTGCCGAACTGTTGGCATCACATTTGCAGCATACTAACCGCAATTTTGTATCTCGGATTCATGATGTTAGTCGCCTTCTCCGGATAATTACGATGTTTTCCAAATGAAAGAGATCGAGGGTGATAAATGCCTAACTGTTGGCATCACATTTACAGCATACCAATCACAATTTTGCATCTCGGATTCAAGATGTTAGTCTCCTTCTCCCGGATAATTACGATGTTTTCAAAATGTATTGGAAAGGTTTCAGGATGCATGTATTGTAATTAGGTGTGTGGGTAGAAAAATATATTCGTTGTCTGTTGGCCGTTTGGGTGACGTGAATTGTTGTCCCCATCCATGTCGGTTTATGTTCTCCGAGCCCGGCTAAAGAGTCCCCTTAAGAACGGTTGTCAACGTAAATCGGCGATTTTCTATCCTCGTCCCGAAAGGTCAAATACCGTTAATTTCTTGAGCATGACGTTATGAATTACCAACTATCAGGACCTATAACTGATCATTTTAATTTCGAGTAGTTGATTAAAATAAAATAAATATTCATTGACATTTTAAGAAAGAAAATGGAGTAAAATGTAAAACGTCCCCAAAGGTCAAATAACGTTAAATTTCTTGAGCATGACGTTATTAATTACCAACTACCAAGGACGTATAACTGATAATTTCGATAGATAGTTGATTATTATAAAAAATATTCATTGACATTTTAAGAAAGAAAATGAAGTAAAACGTAAAACGTCAACCCTGCAGAGAGACTCCACTAAAGCCTCAGTGTGTGACGTCATGCCTCATGCACCCCATGGAGTAGAGAATGAGTTGAGAGTGCTCAGTGATCCATTCATTGAGTGGGTAATAATCTAACCACAGCTGTTTCAGTTTGTAAAAAATAAACCCAGACCAAACTGTGTGTACTATATTTTACCTCTCAGCCTAACCTCAGCCCAGGAAACGGAATATGTAGGATGGACCAAAGAGACTGAAGTCAAAATGATTTATTTTTTAATGTATGCCCAAAACTTGTAATACTATGTGTGAGTGAGTGAGGTTTTACGCCGCCTTATGCAATATTCCAGCAATATCACAGCGGAGGACACCAGAAATGGGCTTCACACATTGTACCCATGTGGGGGAATCGAACCCGCGTGACGAACTAACGCTTTAACCACTAGGCTAGGTACCCCTACCGTCCCGAGTATTTACACTTCATTAGCCGATCGTGGTTTCGATGTCCTCATGTTACGAGGGACGTTCAAAAAGTAGTCAGCCTAACTATATTCTCCATGTCCAATGTTAGAAAAGCTTCCATTTCATTTTTAAGGAATCATTAGCAAAGCCATATCCAAAATTTCACATGTGTGGGTAATGTGGTTAACGAGACATTAGTCATCACAACATTTGGGGTATAATATTTCTTAAAAATTGCAGAAAATGAAAAACGACCTGTCATTTGGTACCTCTTGGATAATGGTATGCCTTCAGATAATATCATATAAAATATGTCAAGTATAGTATTGGATGACTTCCCGTCATAATCAACAGTCAAATATTTGGATTGCTTAATTTATAATTAGACGGGGGTTGTTTTTTAAGGACACCCCCAGTTTTATCTTCCAAAAACAATGTATCCAGATATTCAAGCTGGTACTGTTTACAATATATTGTGAGCTGACACTTGTGTGACCATTCAGTGTTAAGTTTGAACCCTTGGCATCATGTATGAATAAGTGAAAACAATAGAATATGTTATGTCCTTATGATTACGTCATCTGTTAAGGGGTAGGTAGTGTCTCCAAAATAATCTCTTTCAGTAAATATGTGTGTGTGTGTGTGTGTGTGTGTGTGTGTGTGTGTGTGTGAGTGTCACTTCGATTGTAGTTTCAAATTGCTTTTTTATGCACTTTAAGATCTAATTTTGACTCTAGCGGACTTCTTATCTCAAACACACAAAATGTTCTTTGCACATTTTGTTTCATGATGTTTGTGATGCATTTATTGCAGATTTTGTGCTATTTTGGGGTACCAAGTTAAACAGTCAAACAATATCGGGATCATGGGGCTAAACCATAGCAAAACCAATTTTTTGAGGTTGACAGATATTGTGTAGAAACATAAAACATAAAACAGCTGCATTTGTATCATATTCTAGGTGAGGCTGATTACTTTTTGAATGCCCCTCGTGATTTCAAGAATCTTTATATTTTACAAGCGATTTGGGTGATGAACAGAGGACAAATTGAGTTCAAGACCATTGCACGTGTTTGCGAGTGCGCGTGTGAGTGTGCGCCTGCATGCTCGTCAGGATTTAGGAGTGGTATAACCATGCTTGATACCATGGTAGCCTTGATACCATGGTAGCCAAATAAGATACCATACCGCAGTATATCATGGATATCCCACTCAGAGGAACTCCAAGTCGACAAGTTCTTGTTTTAAACCCCCACCCCCCCAATGCCGAGCGCCAGGCAAGGTGACAACAAGTACCACCTTTCAACATAATTGTTACGACGCTTCGCTCTAGCCACCAGAATCCGTGAGCGGTTTTGCAGCAGAATCTTTATCTTTCATATTCACATACTAGTAAACGAATCGAAATAAAATAAATGCGAAGTAATTAAATTCTAAGTAATGTCCACTGATAAAGATGTGTACTAAATACTGACGTAAAAAAACATAAAGCCGACAGAGCGATCGTATTCGGATAAAGTTTAAGAGTATCAAATCTACGTTTGAAACCTCTAATGTAACAAACACAGCAGGTTTTATGCTTGACGTGTGTACATCTACCAACATGGCATTTCAGCGAAAGTAGCAATTTCCTCTGCTGACATCCCAGCTGTTGCCAGATATTAATTAAACACAATACGGTTTGAACATTAAAGCGAGCTCCGTCCTATTTTATTTAAATCTGTACGTAGATATAAATGTAATTCTAGCTGATTCTGTCATGTACTTCAAACCCTAGCTACGAAATTCTCGTTCTTAATCAACTATCAGTAATAAAACACTAAACGTATAAGCGTAGAATGTGACATTTCCATTATTGGGTAGCCTAGTGGTTAAAGCGTTCGCTCGTCACGCCGAAGACCAGTGTTGGATTCCCCACATGGGTACAATGTGTGAAACGTATTTGTGGTGTCCCCCGCCGTGATATTGCTGGAATATATGCGGCGTCTAGTATGATCCCCATGGAGATGAGAAAGCTGTCTGAATGCAAAACCGATGATCAGCAGGGTAATAGTGAAAATGGTTTTAAGAACCTCTTTTAACCACGCATTGTGAATTTAAGAAACATACTAAAGCCCATTTTTGGTGCCCCCCGCCGTGATATTTCTGGAATATTGAGTGAGTGAGTGAGTTTAGTTTTACGCCGCACTCAGCAATATTCCAGCTATATGGCGGCGGTCTGTAAATAATCGAGTCTGGACCAGACAATCCAGTGATCAACAGCATGAGCATCGATCTGCGCAATTGGGAACCGATGACATGTGTCAACCAAGTCAGCGAGCCTGACCACCCGATCCCGTTAGTCGCCTCTTACGACAAGCATGGATTACTGAAGATCAATATTCTAACCCGGACCTTCACGAGTTCTGGAATATTGATGAAAACGGCGTAAAACTGATCTCTCTCTCACTTTTCATCATGAAGGTTTGTAACGAGTGAAATCCAGGCGAAGGAAGATCACGTGGTTTACGTCAATCAACTGTCAACCACGTCAGATGTCATGAAATGAACAACTATAAGACGGTGCCCGTGTTACCTATCTCATTCCCGCCATAAATTTCCACTCCGACGTGAATCGATAAGAGGTAATTTTGTCTCAGTTCACCCTCTCGCTGTATAAATGTAAGCCCAGGCGTGCCAGGGCTGGATACAGCTTTTTGAGAAAAAAAAAAGGGGGGTGGGTGGGGGTGGGGTTGCACACTGTTGAGAAAGGTAGGGGTGCACATTTCATTTTCACCCGAGTTTCAATGGTCACTTAACAAACTTTCAGCACCAAAGGGGGATGCGCACTCCTGCACCCCCTCTGGATCCGCCTATGCGTGCCAGCCGCAATCCTCACCCTATCCAACCTTGCACACACATATCCACCCCACCCTTAATCTCTCTTCCTGTACACTCTATAAAAACATGTTTCCTTAGGAAACACCTCGGTTTACATAACAAATCAACTAAAGACTACTACCAACTGATCTAATTTTTTGTATTTCCTAATATATGAAACACAGTTAGTGAAAAACATTTTATATATATTTTATTTATATGTAGATTGCCTACCCGTCCGTTGGAAATGAAAAACATATTAAATTACGGATGGCGTAATAGACAATGTAATCATTGACTGCGTCACTGTGGTGTGAGCAGCCAATGGCTAGTAAAAATCCAGTCGGGCCAGTAAATCTCCACATTCA